AATGGTAAGCTACATAGTATTCATTATCTCTGGAGTAACTAATCAATACATTTTACAAATAGAGGGAGTACAGATAAGAGAGAGAAGGAGGGCAGAGGGGAGGAGGAAGGAAGAGAAAGGAAAGGGAATGAGAGAAAGTGAAAAAGAAGGAAAGAGAGGATATGTCACTCATAGTATTCTTACTAATACTATATTACTTACAAGATCAGTAAATGATTCATCCATTGTGTCTAACTGATCAACATTTTTACTAATAATATAAATACAATATGTACCACAATAATATCATAATATGTCACTAGTCTCTCTCTATACAGTACATCTATAAGTACCTCAATGGTGTGAATGGTCTTCTATTGGAACGATTTGATATAGTTCTCTTCACTTTCCTTCTCATTCCTTTAATACTATCACTAATAATTAATAATCAAGAAATAATAGATTGATGTAATACATGTACACAAACACTTTCTTTTTCTCCCTCCCTCCCTCTCTCTCTCTCCCTCCCTCTCTCTCTCTTACGTGAATGCTCTTTTAATGGTTCCAGTATCAATGGGTCCAATGCTACATCCAGTCTTTGGCATTGAGTGTAATATATCTGATGAGGTCTTCCATACAAACATATCCTGTAAACAACAACAAACAAAAATAATTAAAAATATAAAATGTTGATAGTCAATGCCTTATGATACATACATATGTACATGTATAAATAAAATTTGAGTTGATTGAGCAGTTTTTGAGTTATGAGCATTATAGGAATAGATTGTATAGCTGAAAATTGGGGGGGGGGGTAAAATTTTGGAAGACGACTAAAATTTTTATGACTTGCAAATTTTAATTTGGCAAATTTGTGTCCATGTGCCATTGAGCATGTACAATGTACATACATGTAATGGCTTGAAATGGCTGGTTTTAATTTTGGTGAATGGCTATCAAAATGCCAAATTTTCCAAAAACCCCCTGTACTATAGCCCGTGCTTTAATCTTAATAATGTCCCTACATTCACTGGAGATGAGGCACAGTTACTGGTACACATCATTTGAGATATTTTATTAATTAGTTCTGTTTTAATTGATGAGTCTCCGTTAATTTTAAAAGTTAATAATCTCTCCTGAGGATCATCAGACCAATGGACTAACAGACCAAAACCATTAACAACATCTAATAAAATAAATAAATAAATAAATAAATGTATCTTCACTATCAGTGAAATCAATGACTGATCTAATATTAGAATATGTGAGGAATTCCAAGTGTCTAAATATAGTAACAAGAACAACAGTAATACATGTACATGTACGTACATTACATGTATATGTATATGTACATGCATGTATACTAAAAATACATGTACATGTACCTGTATGTTTTGTATGAGTCCTTCATAGCAACAAAACCATGACCACTTCTTATCTTAGCAATCTGTAGGAGAGAGGGAGGGAGGGACACTAATTAATAAGACCATCCAATAGTACAGGGTATTTTTCACAGTTTTAGCATTTTCTTAAAATGGCCATAATTCAAAAAATTGAAGTCGGAATCAGCTGAAACTTTCTACACAGCATAAGGACATCAATATGTATCAGAAAATGTAATAAAAATTGGGAGTGATTTCGAAGCCATTTTTTTGAAAAAACCATGGGCTATTATAGTACAGGTGAAATTAGCATATAAAAATGAGACACTTCCTCTATCTCACCCCAATGCTGTCAGAGAAGAGGAACAATGCTATAGACAATGGTTTATTAGTCTTTCCATTATTGCTAATATTTAACTCCAACACATCATGTCTTGAAATAAACCAACGATGAGATGAAAGGACCGTCGCCTAAAGGGGAGGGGTCAGTTATTAAAGACCACACCTACTAATTACCGGGACGTCCTCAATGTCACGTATAAGTTCAAACATGTGCATCTGCTTCTCTGTCTTCCTCTTGTCTTCATTTATGTGTCTAGAAGAATTAATAATAATAAATAAATAAAATACATGTACATGTAGTGATGTATAACTCACTCCATTACATTCTTAAGTTTTTCAACTGATTCCTCCAACTGCTTGTAATCAATGTGGCCAGTATCAGTACGCTTTAATAAATCTATAGCACAGTAATAAAAAATAATCCATCTACATGCAGACAGTACATGTAGATGGACTGTACAGTGATCATTGTAATTGTCTAGAGATGAAATTTTGGCGTATTGCTTAATTTTCGGTGATTGGCAGGTTTTAATATATATTCACATGTCCCATTGAACATGTGCATATATGGTTCAAAATGATGGGCTTTAATTGGGAAAAAGGCTATCAAAATGAGGGAATTATCCACCCAACATCAGCTAAATTACAATGTACAGTACATGTAAATACTAGTATTTATATAATATACATGTACCTTGTAGTAATAATATGATCCTTGGTATTCTTTGTACTGGTGTTATCAGTAGTTCTGATAGTGTCTGGCG